CCAACCCCCTGAACCCCCTGTCCTCCATCCCCCTTTCGCCTCCCGACTCGTGTAGTGCCCTCTCCAGCCCCCCAGGGCCAGAGGGGGTGGGGGCAACAATTGTCTGAGCCCAGCCGGGCGTTTCACTCCAGCCAGGGGAAGTCCAGGCCAGACTTTTGCAGGCGGTGGGGTCGGGCTCAAGGCGCATGAATACAACCCCCGGCCGGGCCCCGGCTCGGCTCGCCTCGGCAGCACGTTTGGCGCGGGCTCAAGTACTGACGGCGGCGGCAGCTGCAGAGAGTAATCGCATAATATTTTCGCCCCGAAGTTTGTTATTTTTTTTGCCTTTTTCGCGCAGAGCGGCACGGCCGCCGGGCACAGCAGCGAGCCCGTGTGAGCTGCTGCTTCTCTCTCACATCGCAGTGCTTATTGCAAAACGCCTGCACACCTGTGGCGTTTCATTTGCAAATAGAATCGCGTACGCACCCACACACGGGGTGTGCGGCGCTACGCACGCACTCGCTGCACGCGCGCACGCACACGCACGCACACGCACGCACACACACACGTGCTCTGTTTATTCAGCCCTAATTAGAGCAGGCCTCCTCCCCTTACCTCTGCCGCGCTGATGTGCCGAGCCCCGGACCCTCTTCTACACGGACTGTGGGGTCTAAAGCGTATAAGGCCTCGAGCACAAACGGAAACACAGGTGTTCTTTAAATACCGACTTACGACGGACCGGTAGCGCATCTATTTTAGTTTTTTTAAAGTGTTCTTGATTCCTGTTCTGACTTCGAAGACAGAGTTCAAATGTCTCTCTTTAGACGTCGAAGATGTAACGTACGCACGGTAAAAAGAATTGTGTTGCTACGCTAAGAATTTTTGTTGTTGTGAAAAATAGACGGATACGAATTTGTATGTTGCAAGTACATATCGGTACAAATAGTTGCGGATAAACTAACTGTAACAACTAAAATTATGTTCCTCGAGCGCGAGCTTGAGCGCTATGAACACCTTGCTAGCGATCTAGCTAGGGCAACGAGCGTGATTGTTTGGAATACAAAATGTTATCAGTATATGACTACAGATAGGGGGTTATAGATTTCTTTTGTCCCTGCTATTGTGCGAAGAACCCCCACTAGGACGACCCTCTCCCACACACAATCACAATTCATTGCGAAGGATTTGCTCGTTTATTTGCGATGAATTTGGCTTCTTATTCGTAAGGGGTCGTCTAGAAAGTACGCCCGTCATTTCCGGTTTCGAAACTGGTTATGTTCAGCTCAGCATGTGCAAGCGGCTCCCTTAGCGCCTGATAGGTAGGCAACATCTTTCCAGTCGTACTTGCATGCACTGCAGCGTGGCCTACCCCGAGTCTTGCAGGCGCCGAGCATACGAAATTCCCCATTTAGAGTGTAAGTGTTCAACTTCACTGTTCAACTCTTTTTGGTTTTCAAACGTCCAGTGTCAAAATCTCCAAAGTGTGCAACGCAATTTTGATAGCACTTGCAAGTGCACTCCAGATGCACACTTTATTTATGCGAGTTCCCCTTGAGACAAGAGAAATAAAGTTTCAATCGTATCATCAATCACAAAAGCAACAGAACCGTTTTCTGGGCGGGACTTTTCAAACCCCGGCCGCGCTGCCGACAAGAGACGAGAGAGTGACTCTTCTTCAATAACCAGCTCGAAACGTGTCAATTATTATCTTGTGGGAAAGGAAAACTGAAAAGTAATTGAGAGTATATGAGTGGCGTTTGCCCCGCGTTCCTGGGGCGACCCAGAGGCCCGTCGGGCTGCTGGAGCCTGGAGGCCGCCGGCCCGTGGTGTGGTGCGCCTGGCCGCGAACTAGTATCATAATTTATAGCTCCCCCCACCACACCAGTATCGGAGCGGGCGAAACTCGCTCGGAGGTTGGGCCGGTTGCCCGCAAGGGGTTGGCTTTTGATATGCGGAAATATTTTTTTCCTCTCTCGCTCACATGTATGTCTGCACGTATGCACGCGTGTGTGTGTGTGTGTGTGTGTGAGTGCGCATATGTAGGGGATGCTGGTAATTAGCTTGAACCATTAATCCGAGCTGGTCGGCCTGATGTATGGCGTGATGCTCACATGCTTCTGACAGCACAGCCCCCCGCGCGGTCGGGCCGCAGCCGGGCCGCAGCAGGCCGCTGGTGACGGGCTGAGGCCAGGGCCCCCGCACCCCGACCCCAATTGGGGACCAAGTTATGCGCCGGACGCCGAGGGAATCCCCGATGACCGCGCCTAGCCGAGAGCGGGATCACTGATTTTTTTCTTCTTTTTATTTTTTCTTTATTATACGTTTTACTCGTTTTCATTTTGCCCCTCCCCCCCTTTTTTTGCGTGCTCGTTTTTCACTACGAACGCAAGAGGAGAGGGCGGCAGCGAACTGACCCCCCATTGCTGCTTACTCGGAAAGTTTGTAATTGGGAGTCCGAACGAGGAAAGGAACGCGCCCGCAACGCTCAGCCAGAGGTAAGGGAATTATATTTGAGGAATATACATATTTCCACGAGTGAGCCGGGTATATGTGGTGGTTCTGCCATATACTGGTACCCGCGAGCGGAGGACCCGGAACACACTACATCAACAGCAACAAGCTCATTGCTCTGCCTCCGGGCTGCCCGCTCGCTCTCGGCTCGGCTCGGCCGCGCGCTCCGCAGCGCTGCGTAGGGGGTCGCCTACCCTGCGGTCCACAGGCGCGCGCCGCGGGTGTCGGCCATTCTCTCTGCTGCTGCTGCTGCTGCTGCTGCTGCTGCTGCTGCTGCTGCTGCTGCCGCCGCCGCCGCCGCCGCCGCCGCCGTCGCCGGCCGTCCGTGGTCATGATGGTCGTGTTTCACGTCGATTCCCTCCTCCCACCGTTCGCACCCTGCCGGGCCCGGGCCGGGCCGCCTCCAGAGCGATTTGCATCGGCCTGAGTGGCTATGGACTCACGGCCCGGCCGGGGTGTGCTCCTAATGGGCTGGACCACGCCCGGCCTCGGCCCGGCCTCGGCCCGGCCCGGCTGGGGGTTGCGGTCGCTTAGCGGTCGCCTCTCTGGCGGCCTCTGGTCGCACCACACACACCACACACTGCTGCTGAGGTGGCAGCGCACCAAACCTTACAGATCGGACACATTTCACGCGCAGTTTTTTTTTTCCCTCGGGTTGACGTGCTTTCTTCGCGGTTTCGGTGGTAGACTACATCAGGCCGCATCGGGCAAATTGGTTATGAAAGGGAAACAGGAGGTGACTTCTTTTGGTTGTTATCCGTCTAAGGCGATCTGTGCGCGTTGCAGCGTTCGTAGTAGAGAGAAAGAGAGAGGCTGCCTCGAGACACCCCATACAGGTATAGGGGTGGCCCGTGCATCGTGCGTGACCTATCATGCCGTCGTGCGAGAGGAGGTGTTCGCTCCCTCTCTATAAAACCCCCAACCCTCTCTGCCTCTCTCTCTCTCTCTCTCTCCCTCTCTCTCTCTCCCTCTCTCTCTCCCTCTCTCTCTCCCTC